TTTTCCATCTTTCAATTAGGAAATCTTTTTTCTCTATAACCAATTAAAAATTTGTATGCAAAATTATAGATTATTCACTTAGTTGGAAAAATGGAAAGGAATTCCTATTCTTAATGGGAAGAGTGAACCCAAATCCTTTTATGCTCAATTTCAAAATCTACATAGTCTCACGAATCCCATTAAAATCAATTAGTGATTGCCTTTGCATTTCACAATTGTGCATCCACTGCTCCTTTTGCAAAGTCACTTTCTTTGCGAATATACTCTTTATTAAACAACAAACGAGTTTCTCATTTATGGTACGTGGAAAATCTATGAGCCCTAACGAAGCTCGAGTTAATTCTACTTTACTCTCTTTACCTTTAGTTTGTCTGACTTTCAACTATAGGAAAATATGATATATTATTTATTTTCTACAAGTTTTGTTTTGTCACATACGACATTTTATTCTAATATCAATGTTTTTTTCCATCTCAACTAGGAACTAAAATGCCATTTTTAAAGGTTAATGATAAAATGATAACTTTCCCAAGTCAAATACTTTTGATACTTATTTTCTCGATGGTAGTGTTGGTTTGTCATACTTATTATTATATTCACACTAATGTATCATCTTCCATATGAAGATGTATCTCTTGCATTTAATGTTTGCTAATGATTACAAAATAGGGTTTGGATAAAGTATACTTGGAACAGTGAGATCGTAAAAAAACATTGTATAATCAAAATTAAATAAGTTATCTCTCTTATCAGATTTTTACCTTACTAATCACGTAAGGTGAAAGTTAAATTTAAAAAGTAGATTGGAAATTGGTTTTAATTTTTTTTGAATCTTTCAACTAGGCAATCTTTTTCTCTATAACCAATTAAAAATGTGTATGCAAAATTATAGATTATTCACTTAGTTGGAAAAATGGAAGAAAAAAAATCCTATTCTTAATGGGAAGAGTGAACCCAAGCCCTTTTAGGCTTAATTTCAAATCTACATAGTCTCACAAACCCATTTAAATCAGTCATCAATTGCCTTTACATTTTGCAATTGTGCATCCACTCTCCTTTCGCAAAGCCACTTTCCTTGCAAATACACTCTTCATTGAATAACATAGGAGTTTCTCATTTATGAAACGTGGTAATTCTGTGAGTCTAGATAGAACTCAAGTTAATTCTATTTTACTCTCTTTGGATTTAGTTTGCCTGATTTTCAACTATAGGCAAGTAAGATATATTATTTATTTTTACAAGTTTTGTTTTGCCACATACGTGGCTATCTATGATTTTTTCATCTCAACTGGGAACTAAAATGCCTTTTTGAAAGGTTGATGATAAAATGATACCTTTCTAAAGTCAAGTACTTCTGATACTTATTTTCTTGGTAACGGTGTTGGTTTGTCATACTTATTATTATACTCGTACTAATGTATGATCTTCCATTTGAAAATGTATCTCTTACATTTAATGATTTTTAATGATTACAAAATAAGGTTTGGATAAAGTATACATGAAACAATGAGTTTGTAAAAAAAATTGTATAATCATAATTAAATAAATTGTTATCTCTCTTATAAGGTTTTTACCTTACCAACCACTTAAGATGAAAGTTAAATTAAAAAGAGTAGATTGAAAATTGGTTATAATTTTTTCTTCCATCTTTCAATTAGGCAATCTTTTTCTCTATAACTAATTAAAAATTTATGCAAAATTATAGATTATTCACTTAGTTGGAAAAATGGAAAAGAACCCCTATTCTTAATGGGAAGAGTGAACCCAAGCTTCTTTACGCTCAATTTCAAAATTTGCAGTCTCACAAACCCATTAAAGTCAATCACCGATTGTCTTTGCATTTCGCAATTGTGCATCCACCACTCCTTTCGCAAAGCCATTTTCTTTGCGAATACACTCTTCATTAAACAAGAGACGAGTTTCTCATTTACAGTGCGTGAAAATTTTGTGAGCCCCAACAAAGCTCGAGTTAATTCTATTTGCCTTTAGTTTGTCTGATTTTCAACTACAGGCAAATACGATATATTATGTATTTTCTACAGGTTTTGTTTTTGTGACACCCTCTACCGAACATTAATACACAACACATGTAAACTATAATTTTCCTAGTAAATAAAATCTTTCATAATTGATAACATCTTTCATGAATAAAACAAGTGTCTCAAATATCATAAGGTAGAAGATTCACATTCATAACTCATAAACCTTAACTCCAATGTAAAAATTACAAAAGAAAAGAAACTAAGGTTTTCAAAACAGTTTACTAGAAACAACATTCTAGGCTAGTCCTAAATACACCTTGATGTCACATGTCCTATCAGAACACGCCCAATTGAAGCCTAAACTTTGTCACCAACATCCTCATGTTGATGGTCACATACAACACAATAAAAGACATACATAGAGCAAACAGGAGAGTGAGAAACATCTCACTCGGGTTTAGGTGTAAAAATAACAGTCAGGCAACACATACAAATCATAACAAGCACAACCATAACTACACATTAATCAGGTGCAAATTCAAGTTATACATACAATAGTAACACATACAGAGTCATTCATCATGCAATGATATTATGGACTCGACTCATAAATGCATGCATGTGGCGCTAGTCACATATCACATATCACTGGTGTGCTGCCTATACAACATACCTAAGGTAGTCTAGGAGTACATGTAAGGAGCTACCCATACACTCTCAACTAGAAGGATGTACTGCTAGGGTCTGGTCAGAATAGCGAAGTTGCACAAGTTACGTCTCGTGCTCACAAATAGGCAGAATTGAGACATCTAAACCGCACTATCCCCTAGGACTCCCCCAAGCTGTTAGACAAGGAGGGCCTTCCCTAACGGTGTACTTCATATCGTATCCGTCACAAAATCACATGATGCATGTCACAAATATTCACACTTCATGGACTCATCACTTTACTTATCATATCACATCAGATCTCATGTCACTTGTTCACATTTCACATTTTTCATACTCATAATCACAAGGTCACATATAAGAGATTCACATCGTCATCATGCTCATAGGAAACACGTCACTTGCATTAACACAATAATAAGGCAGTTCTCACACCATTAGCACTTTCAAACATGGTGTAAAACTTATCTATTTTTGAAATTAAACACATATTCACACTCAGCAAGCATCGAGGGACACAACAGAAAACTCAATCACTAAAATAGAAAACATTCATATTTTGTCTGTTTCTCATATGATTTCCCGTAGGAACCCATAGAAAACTCTAATCCCTATCAAAACATATTCAAACTCAAAATTAAATATACATTCATGTTCAATGATCATCAGGGAACACAACAGAAAACTTAGAAGTCAAAACAAAAAACATTCAAAATTTGTCTATTTTTCATAGGGTTTCCCATAGGAACCCATAGAGCACTCTAATCTATATCAAAACATATCTAAACTCAAAATTAAATATACATTCATGTTCAATGATCATCAGGGAACACAACAGAAAACTCAGAAGCCAAAACAAAAAATATTCAAAATTTGTCTATTCTAGTAGGGTTTCCGAAGGAACCCATAGAACACTCTAATCCATATAAAAATTTATCTATTCTTGAAATTGAACGCATATTCACACTAAAAATCACATAAAGAATGCAATAGAATAATCAAAAAGTAAAACAAAAAACTTTCATAAAGTGTCTGTTCTTATCAGGCAAGGGATTGAGGGTCATAGAACACTCTAATCCATATAAAAATTTATCTATTCTCAAAATTGAACGCATATTCACACTTAAAATCACATAAAGAATGCAATAGAACAATCAAAAAGTAAAACAAAAAACTTTCATAAAGTGTCTAGAAGCATGAAAGTAACTCTTGACAACTCCTTTTGTAAAAGTAATAAAAATAAATAATAATAATATTTAAAAAAATACCACTACGTCCCTCCTTCCCTTCTCATGGCCCCAAGATTTAACGCAGCTGCATACACAAGACAGGATTCGAACCCCTAACCTTGCTTAAGGTTAGATCAACCCCTACCACTGAACCACACGCTCGAGGTTATAAATAACATAAACATAATTCTTAATAAAACATATTTTTCATAAAAATAGTCTTATAGCAAATAATCCAAATATTAATTAAAAATCATAAAAATAAAGTTCACATAAAATAGATAAATAATATAAAATATATTTCTCCCTTTTAGTAAAATAACATACGTTTATATAAAAATAAAACTCATATCTACTAACTAAATGATATTAAAAATCCTTCTAATAAACACATTAAAATATTACAATAAATAAAAACATATTATTAATAAAATACATTTCATAAAAATTATCTATATATCACTAATCAAAATAATCATTATAAATCATGTCTCATAAATAAAATAAAGCTCATATAATTAATTAAATATATAATATTAAAACTCTAAAATAACTATATTAAATATCAAAATAATTTCAAAATTTATTTATATAAAGTATGAAAAATCAAGGTGTTACAGTTTTGCCATGTACATCATTTTATTTTACTATCGATGATTTCTCCATCCCAATTGGGAACTAAAATACCTTTATGAAAGTTTAATGATAAAATGATACATTTCCTAAATCAAGTACTTTTGATATTTATTTTCTTAGTAGTAGTGTTGATTTATCATATTTATTATTATATTCACACTAATGTATTGTCTTTCATATGAAAATATATCTTTTACATTTAATATTTTTTAATGATTACAAAATAAGATTTAGATAAAGTATATATAAAATAATGAGACCGTAAAATATATTGTATAATCATAATTAAATAAATTATTTTTCCTCTTATCATGTTTTTACCTTACTAATCATGTGAGATGAAACTTAAATTAAAAAAAGTAGATTGAAAATTGGTTATAATTTTTTTAAATCTTTCTACTAGGTAATCTTTTTCTCTATTACTAATTAAAAGTGTGTATGCAAAATTATAGATTATTTATTTAGTTGGAAAAATGGAAAAAAATTCCTATTCTAAATGGGAAGTGTGAACACAAGCCCTTTTACGCTCGATTTCAAAATCTGCACAACCTCACGAATCCATTAAAATGAGTCACCAATTGCCTTTTTATTTCGCAATTGTGTATCCATTGCTCCTTTCGCAAAGCCGCTTTCTTTGCAAATACACTCTTCATTGAGCAACGGACGATTTTGTGGTAATTCTGTGAGCCTCGACGGATTTAACCGGTTCCTACATTTCCGGTGAGTGGCTACACAAGAGAGGTGGGATTGTTTTGTAGCCAAGTATTGCTGCTCACAGATAACATAGAACAGGTATGAAGACTCTTATGACTAATTTCATTCAGTTTTTCTAGACAATAAGCATGAGAAAAAAGTAAAATTTCTGATTACAAGTAGGTATCAGCAAGTCAAAAGTCCATTGGCATCTCATATCCATGTATGACTAATGATGGTATATATTTCGTGTCATATGTTGCTGTATTTATTTATTACAAGTCACATGGGATGCTGTTTGATGTGATTGTGTTGTTAGTAAGTTGAAAGATATATCTTACAGGCTTAAGTGCTGACTATGACAATTCTTTTACAGACTCTCTGACTAAATGTAATATTTTGAAGGTGGGGTCTCAATAGAACCCTGCCAAATAGACGGCAAATTCATCAGTAAAAAGTAAAGTTTCTCAACAGTTATTCACGATTTCACACTAAATTTTTAATGTTGTTGTGTTTCATTAATTTATAATTCAATATTTAAGTAGTGATATGTACAAAAAGGTACACCGGAGCAGAGTTTTCTTTCCTTTATTTTACTTCTGAATCGCATTATATTTATTAGGCATAACGTGGATAGATAACCCTTTGCACATGAATGGCCAAGTGATGCTATTTTTGAACCTGTTGTTTTCACTTGGAAAAACCAGTTTTTGCAGGTTATAAACTGATTTTGATTGGGTTATATTCATATTAAAAACCAGTTTTAAATTCAAAACCGGTTCTGAACTGGTTTACTTCCAACCTAAATCAGTTTAAAGCTTGATCTGAACTGGTTCACCAAAAAGCAAACCTCTTCGGCAAAAGTAAAACTGGTTTGGTTTCAAACTGAACTATTTTACCAGCTTATTTTGGTTTGCTTTTCTATGCTAGTCCATGCCTGCCCTGGTAGAGTTATTAACAGCTATCAGGAAATGTTGTTAACATCTATTGTGTTTACCTTTTAGCATCTTATGATGGCTGGTTTATTTGATGCTATGCTATTTTTTATCACATGTTTTGAATAGAAACTAGATCATAGAGATGAGAGAGCAAGTGAGACAAAGAGGGGGCCTCTGAACTTAGAGAGGGAGAATGAGGGGAATCTGATTTGAGAATGCAAGCGAGGGTGGTGAGAGTGCAAGGGTCTATATTTTCAGTGGAATTTGAGTTATTACTTGTTCCGGTATGCCTAAAAAAGTCTTACATCGCTTAGAAGTCGAGGTTAAGGGTAGTTTATAAACACCCTTCCTCTTTAACCTATTGAGACGCCTTTTAAAGGTCAAAACCGTGACGGTTCAACGAGTGCCAAAGTGGACAATATCTCAGATGCGGTGACCCTAACAATGACAGTGGACTTACGGTAGGAATATTTGGTGCTAGAAGGAGGGCTTAGGCTACTCTTGCCCCTTAGCATCGACTGGGGAGCTTGTTCCGGTATGCCTAAAAAAGTCTCACATCGCTTAGAAGTCGAGACTAAAGGTAGTTTATAAACACCTTTCCTCCTTAACCCACCGAGGCTTACTTTTAAATATCATTAACATCACAAATGTCAGACACAACAAAACCTAATTTTTCTATTGTCATTTGTCAAAAACCAAAATGAGATATTAAAACCAAAATGACAGTAGTAAAACCAGGTCATGTTGCATCCGATATCTATGTTGTGGAACGATATTTAATGGTAGGAAGTCAAATTCCACTGAAAATACACACTCGCACTCCACCCTCGCTCGCATTTTCAGATCAGATCCCCTCATTCTTCCTTTCTAGGTTCAGAAATCTCTCTTTCTCTGATTCATATTACGTTCGTCTCACTCAGTCTCTCATCTCTATGATCTAGGGTTTGTTGCGTCAATTTTAATTTTTTTGGGATTGTTGATCTGTGTTTTGTTTTCTTATTTCGATGATTGGTGTTTCTATTGTTGATTTGTGACCTGTTATTTATTTCCTCATTCAAACACAATCTTAAGCAGGTGGCATGGCATTCTCAGCTGTCTCACGACTAGCCAATCTTCAAAGACACTTGGATTTGAATGGAACCAGCAACAAGGTATTGAATATGGATTTTTCACATAATGATCATTAGTATTTGTTGCAATAAATTCATCCAAGTAATGTTGTTCCCTTTTTTCAACCCTTGTAGTCATTTTTGTATCATTCTGGTGAAAACATTATTCGTAAGCAAAATGAATAATCACTGGGTTTTGATATAGGCTGTGCAAGTCAATGTAATTGAAAAGTCAATCAAGGTGAAGGTAGCTTCAGAGGTTTCTGAAGCATTATCACTAGGGCGTGCAGTTGTTGCTCTAGAATCGACCATCATTTCTCACGGTTCTCTCTCTCTCTCTCTATTTGTGTGTGTATTGTTTTTCCTTTTTCAACTCCAATACCCAGAATTTAGTATTTGGAATACACTCTTGTTTGTAGGGATGCCATATCCTCAAAATTTAGAAACTGCAAGAGAGGTGGAACGTATTGTAAGAGAGAACGGTGCAGTTCCGGCAACCATTGCTATTTTAGATGGCACACCTTGTATAGGTATTTCCATCTTTCTCAAGTCTTTGAATTCAATTATTATTTCATATTTTATCATACATTTACAAGCACAAGTGATTTGGTATGAGAAGAATGTTGGAGAGCTTGCACTTTACTCGTGGATTTCCTTTTCATGCTGTTTTGTAAATTGAGTTTGGTTTCAGTTGGGTGCTTGGAATGAAAATAAGGGTAAAGTAGTAGCAAAGAATATTATTCAGTGTTGTCAAACAGAAACGCTGTAACACTATTGCATTGTAGACTTCAGCGGAAACACAATCGTGATGACATCACGTTGCAGAGTCCGCTATAAAAGCGATCACGGCCACCTTATGCAACATGGTGTGGGTATTGCATCGTTGGGTGGGTGGGGCGTACCGACCTGCTATTTGCATGTTATGTGTTCACAAAGTTGAAAACGTCATATGAAGAGTTTTTTTATCCCATTGCTGCTGCAATAATAGCAAATATATTTTATTCTATCTTTTTGTTTAAAAATTAGACATTTACTTTTGCTTGCTTGTTTTATTTGGATAGGTCTAAGTATAGAAGAACTTGAAAGGCTAGCTATTCTGGGAACCAGAGCTCAAAAGACAGCTAGAAGGGACATAGCACATGTTGTGAGTGTTTTGGCATCATTTTGCATACCATATTTATGTATGTATATGTCTAAATGATTGTCCTTAGCTACCCTACAAAAAATAAAACTAGAAAACCATTATTGCCAAAATGTTGTGTAGTTCAAGAATTTTAAGCAACTACTATGTATAGCAAGAATTCCTTGGAATTATAAGTTGGCCTCATCCCATCCATCTTTCCATCTTCTAACCGGCTAGCCCAAAGTTGAAATATATGCTTTTTTTTTTACACAGTTGAATAGAATGTAGTTGGATATGCTCTCATTCGACAATTGTATCTAAATTTATTAAAAAAAAAGTTGACAAGGTTTTCAGAATGTTACTATCATCAGGGACATCAAGTTATTGCTAAAGTAAAGCTCAACTAATAACTGTTACTTGAAAGTATAAATTGCATGAATGAAAATACCATTTAGCATTATGATAAAGTTTATTTGCTTATATGTCCACTCAAACATGCTTTTGATGGTGCAAATTTTACTGCTGATACTGATGGAAGTCTTCATTATTATCCTGCTGGTTCTTCCCATTTTGCTGGTGACTTTTGCTGGTTCTTCTATATTGTTCAACTAATTTCTTAGATTCTTGCAAGCATTTGAGATTGGTTTCTTCAATTTTGAGTTGACTAATGGTCTAAGGTTTTAAGTTGTCTCACCATAATTTTTGTACTTTTAATGAACTATATTTTTTTTGACAGGTTTTCAAATTTGTTATTGCCATTATGTTCATCCTGTGAGGATATTTTAATGTTCTGAAGCATACATCATAATAACTATTAGATGTGAACTTTCGATGTTAATGCAATATTGCTAAAAGATTTTATTAACTCTCTCACACTCACAACCATAACCATTTCATTCAGCACCTTTATGATTTTTAAGTGTTTGACTACAGTTTTACATACTAATATTTATAATTTTAAGGTAGCTCAAGGTGGAAATGGTGCCACTACTGTTTCTGCAACAATGTTTTTTGCTGCTATGGTATGCTTTCTCTAATTCATCTTCAGTCCTTGTATTGTCACATTTTGGTTTCACTACCTTTATTTTGTAAAATTTTTCGCAGGTTCATATTCCTGTCTTTGTGACTGGGGGAATTGGGGGAGTGCACAGACATTGGGAACATTGTATGTTAACCTCCTATGTTGTACTAATATAAAGAATTGGTTTTCATGAAGGATTCAGACTAACCGTATAAGATGACATGTGTTTTGGTATAAAATTTTGAGACCAATGAATCAACTAGTGTATGTTTTACAAATTTTTGTTGTCTTTTAGGGTCTATGAAGTTCCTGCAATTTGCAACTTAAACAATGAAACGGAGAGCTATGGCACCTGACCAAGTTTGACCTTTCACTGAAAAAACCTTTTAACATTTGTTACGGCCAAAAATACCTTTGTAATTTACTAATTTATCATACAAATAAATAACCATACTATAACAACAAAAAATAATCACTTTGGCCCTGTGATATTTTAAAGATATTTTCTGGTAATGAAAGGTCATAATTGCTTCTTCGATAAAAAGCACAAAGGGAGTCCACATTTAGTGGCAACGCTTTTACAATACACTATGTAAAACTGCCATTTAATGCAACAGTTTAGTTGCATCGTGGATAATGTAATTTCTCGTTGCCGTCTACAAACATAAGAAATGAATATTCTTTTCATTTTTTATATCATTGGTGTTTCTGCAAATAAATCTGATATTATTGTTGAGCATATTATTTATCATATTTTTTGGCAGCCTTGGACATATCTTCTGATCTCACTGAGCTAGCTAGAACACCAGTAGCAGTTGTATGTGCCGGTGTAAAATCAATATTAGATATTCCCAGGACACTTGAGTATCTGGTACCGATCTACTTTTGTGTTAATATTACTGAAGCAGTCATCAATTGTATCTATTATTATTATTATTATTATTATTATTATTATTATTATTATTATTTGTTTCAATCTTGAATAGGAAACACTAGGAGTTTGTGTTGCTGCTTACAAGACCAACGAGTTTCCTGCATTTTTCACAGAATCAAGTGGATGCAAGGTATATTAAATTGGGTTCTCATAAGGCTTTCAATCTTGAATATTTGATGTGGGTGCACTTTCGTAAATAGATTAATTAAGTCCTTATTTATGTAGGGTTTGACTTTGACTTGATTTTCTTAATCTTAAAAGCTGCTTTAAAGTTAAAATTACAACATAATGTGTTGTAATTAGAGAAAATATCTTCCTAATTAGAGAAAATATTTGTAGAATCTCCTATTTATTTTTTAGCATATTTTAGTTCCTTATTTCCTTATTTTAGAAGATTAGATTGTTACAAATAGGTGTAATGAGAACGTAATACAGATGAATGAAATAATAAAATCATTCTCTCTTTCCAAGTTGGTATTAGAGCTCCCAGTCTTGGGAGCTGCGTTTTCGCTGCAACAGTAGCCATTGCTGTCATTGTCCGGCTACCACGGCTGCCACTATAGCCTTTGGGAGTTGTTGATAGGGGAGAAAGGTGTGCCCCACTCCGGCGAACACAACGTCGGAAGTCGTTTCGTGAAAAATGCCACCACATGCCATCACGTGCCACCACCGTCGCCGGCGCGTGTAGCTCGCGCCTAGTTCTGGTGAGACCCACTCGCCGCCTCCATCACGGAATCGGTCGTCGGAGCCTACTAAGTCCATTCCATGGGTCTGTGACGTCCCATTTGGCCCAGATTCTAGTAGATTTGAGTTTTGAGTTTTTTGCTCCTTTTCCGGTGTAGCCCACTCATCGTCATCGCCATAGACAGAGTCGTCGAAGCCACCAATCAATCGATTACTTAATCACCATCAGATCTTGATAAGAAAGCTTTCAAGGAGGAACTAGATCGTTTGAAAGCAATGGTTGGATCAATAAGTAAGCCCTTTGGACCATGTACTCTATCCATGAAAGGTAAGAGTTCTCTCCATATTGTTAGTCCTGTGTCTCAAGATATTTGAATTCTTGATTCAGGAGCAACTGATCATATGACACCTTTTTGTATGATCTTCAAATCATATATTAAGAGGAATAGAGAACAACTTATTACAGTTGCGAATGGTCAGGGTTACCCATATGCGGCTCTTGGAATATAATTTTGGAATCATCTATTGTATTAAAGGATGTTTTACATGTTCCACAACTAGCCAATAATCTTATCTCTATGCAAAAGCTCACAAAAGATTTAAATTGTTCAATAACATTTTTCTTCACTCATTGTGTTTTTCAGGACCTTGCCATGGGGAAGACGATTTTAACAGCTAAGGAGCAGAGTGAGTTGTATCTGTTGGAGTCTGATGACCAAAACAAAATAAAGATCATAAGTCAACAAGCTACATCTGAGACGTGGTCAAATTCCCAAATATGGATACATCATAAAAGGCTTGGGCATCCTTCATTCAACCTTATCAAACCCTATCAAGTCTACCTAATTGAGTCTTTGGATGTACTGTTTTTTGTTCATTTTCATCATCCTAATCGTACTAAATTAGATCTCAAAGCTCTTAAATGTGTCTTTATTGGGTATCCTTCTAATAAAAAAGGATACAAATGTTATTATCCTTAGAGTCGTCGTGTCTTTATCACTATTGATGTCACCTTTCATGAAACACAAGCCTTTTATGTTAGTCCTCCACTTCAGGGGGAGAAAGCACTTGAAGTGGATGAGCTCTGCTTCTTGTCAATATCATATTTTTCTTTATAGGATGCCCAAGATTTAAGCAATGAAGCTACCATGGTCCATAAGAAGACAATTTTTTGGCAAAAAATATGAAAGAAGAAAACAACCCAGTTCGACTCTAAAGCAAGAAGAATTGTCTAGCCCAGAGGTGAGGATCCCTGAAGATAACAGTGAGGAGGTAAGTATTACTGAAGATTTATCCATTGCATTGAGAAAGGAAAGAAGGTCATATGTTAAATATCCCATTTCTCAATATGTTTGCACTAACAATCTCTCTAATAAGCACCAAAGCTTTATTGTTGCAATTGATCATAGATTCATAGAAGTTCCTACCGCAGTCTAGGAAGCCATGAAAATTGAACATTGGACTCAAACCATGAGAAAATAGTTGAATGCATTAGAAAGAAATTCAACTTGAGAGATTGTTGATAAATTGAGAAACAAGAAGGCTATAGGGCGTAGATGGATATTCACAATGAAACATAAGGCAGATGGGACAATAAAAAGATATAAAGCTAGATTGGTGGCAAAGGGCTACATCCAAACTTATGGGATTGACTATGAGGAGACATCTGTCCCAGTGGCAAAGATGAATACAATTTGAGTTGTTATTGCTTTAGCTGCTCATTTTGGTTGGGACTTACACCAATTGGATGTGAAGAATGTCTTTCTTCATGAAGATCTGGAAGAGGAAGTGTACATGGAGATTCTCCCATGTTTTGAAGTGCATAATGAAAGAAACAAGGTATGCCTCCTAAAGAAAGCATTATATGGTCTTAAGCAATCCCCTAGAGTATGGTTTGGAAGATTTACAAATGTAATGGTTTCCTTGGGATACAGACAAGCCAAAGAGATTATACTCTATTTATAAAGCACTCTTCTACAGGTAAACTCACTCTACTGCTTGTCTATGTGGATGATATGATTATTGCAAGAGATGATGAAACAGAAAAATTGGCATTAAAAGAAAAATTGACAGCCCAATTTGAAATGAAAGCCCTAGGAAAACTCAAGTACTTTCTTGGAATAGAGGTTGCTTACTCCAAGAACGAAATTTTCACTTCCCAAAGGTAATATGTACTTGATCTCCTCAAAGAAATAGGAAAGTTGGGATGTAGAACCTCAACAGTTCCTATAGAACAAAAGCATAGAATTGGAAGTGAAGAAAGTACTCGTGTAGAGAAGACCCAATATTAGAGATTGATAGGAAAGTTGATTTATCTATCACACACAAGACCAGACATTGCTTATGCAGTTAGTGTAGTAAGTCAGTTTATGCATGACCCAAGAGAGAGACACATGCAAGCAGTTGACAAAATTCTCCAGTACTTGAAGTCAAGACAGAGGCTGTGGTTACAACTCATGTTCCTACAGAATTTCAGATAATAGATATTTTTACAAAAGGGCTCCCTTAGGATAGATTTCAAGATCTTGTAGGCAAGTTAGGAATGGTTGATATCCATTTACCAACTTGAGGGGGAGTGTTGTAATTAGAGAAAATATCTTCTTAATTAGAGAAAATATTTGTAGAATCTTCTATTTATTTTTCAATATATTTTAGTTTCATATTTTCTTATTTTGGAAGATTAGATTGTTATAAATAGGTGTAATGAGAATGTAATACAGATGAATGAAATAATAAAACCATTCTCTCTTTCCAAGTTAATGAATATGTTATTTGGTAATTCTATATAGAAGGCAACTCTTCCAGTGAGTACTCACTCCAGCAAGAATGAAAGACAGAGAGAATGGGATTTTGAAGAAATAATAGAGAATAGAAAATCCCTTTTTGATAGTATATTCCTGTATTCTGAATTCACCCATAATCATTTATTTATATGCTTATTTTCTAACAGAATAGTGAAATTTGTAAAGGTAAAGATTAAACCACTCGGCTCACACCCAACAGCCTGCAAAGTTGGTTACCACACCAACTCAGAAAGTGTTACACACGAAATCAGTCATCCACACTGGTTTTTACAAGAATATACCTGTCTTGAGTTTCTATTTCTTCTTTACTGAGCACCTCAACAATTTGAATGGGCTGCTGATTATCAGCTTGTGTACCCCCTTACTGCAGCAGTGGTCGTATCACTCCCGTCCCCAGACTTGGGATTTAGATTTTGAATAAAATGCTTGAGTGACTTAGCTTCACTCATCACAGATTTTATGTGTATATATAAACAGAGGTACAATGAGACAAAAAAGAAGGAATTACATTCTGAATCCACGGCAGACAACTACCGTAGTGTGTACAGACAGTTATAGCAGTAGGAAAAGTAAAAAAAAAACAGCTTTACATAACATATGGTAATACAAAAATATATATTAAGCTAACACTCTCCCTCAAGTTGGAACAAATAAACTGATTACAAGGCCCACTCAAAGACTTGTTCACAATTTCATGAAGTTGATCATTTGAACTAATGAATTCAGTAGTGATCTCCTTAGATAAAAACTCCCTAAAAAAGTGACAGTCAACCTCTTTATGTTTAGTTCTTTCATGGAACATTGGATTAGAGGCAACATGAAGATTGAAGAGTTGCCTGGTTGTGACAATACAATTTCATTTGTTAGATTTCACATAACTTTGACTCTTAGAGAAGTTGCTTGATCCATATAACTCACAAGTGGCTGTGACCATAGCTCTATGTTCAGCTTTTGTACTAGGCCTAACAACAACATTTTGTTTCTTGCTCTTCCAAGAGATAGTGTTTCCTCTAATGGATATACAATATCCCGTAGTTGATCTCTTATCTATGCGGCATCTTGCCCAATCAGTATCAAAATACCTAGAGATTGGGGTATTTCCCTTATCTTAATATAGTGAACCTTGTTCTGGAGAGCTTTTTTAATATACTTGAGAATGCAAATCACAACATTCCAGTGATCAATATGAGGAGCTAGGTTGTCCAAATCAAGAGTTTATATAAACTTGTTGAGGCCCTGTAAATTCAAATCGCAAACTCATAGAGTTTATTTAATATAAAAAATATATTAAAATATTTATAAATAACATAACTCAACATTCAACTCCATATTAAAGTAAAATAACAAATTACAATAATAAAGTAACAAAGTTTAGTAGCAAATCATGCATAATTTCATACAAGACACAAGTTCTTAAAATGATAGCAAATAAAAAGCTAAAAAAAAGATTAATATTTTCAAATCTCTATGTCTAATCCTCTAATAATATGGTTTCCAAGTCCAAGGTCTCAAAAAAAAATGGGACATGAAGAAGAGAGAAAAATACAAAGAAGGAAAATGGGAAAGAACCTTCACGAGAATCGCGGAAACACGACACTACAACTGGAACAACCCTAAATCACACGATGTTGACCAGAGAACAGAGATGCCGACCAACGATGAGCAAGCCACAAAGAGCGCGATCTCGACCAAAGAACTAGGGACGACAAACAAACTAGCAACGAGCAAGTCCTAACGCTGATGAACAGATCCGAACAACACAGGTTTTGGGTTCAGTTTCAGCAATTGAGACTTGAGAGAAACGTGCAAATCGTGGGAAGGAAAAAATCCTAAATTGAAACGCAAGTTTTGCTATTGTTTGGGGCTTTTTTAAGTGACCAGTGTAGCCACGCTCAATCACGACAAACTTGCGATTTTGGTTGAGTTTGTGAGTTTGCAAAAGTTTAGTGGAAAATGAGTTTGCATACGAGCTGAATAGGTTGGGCTTCCCTGGCTCGTAAAATCAGAAGTTTTTACGAGTTAAAACTCGATCTTGACAACCATGGGAGCTTTCATGAATTGAATCACAACTCCAACTGCAAAAGAGATAAAAGTCTTGTAATTATGAGATAAATGAGTTTCCCAACCAACCTTTTGTATCTTTCTGGATCTGGAAATGGTGCACCTTGCTTGCCATTAACTTTTGATTTGGGTCCATAGGAATATCAATGGGCCTACAATCAACCATCCTTGTCTCCTCCAAAATATCCAAAGCATACATCCTTTGTGAAATAACAATGCTTTCCTTGGATTGAGCCACCTCTATGCTAAGGAAGTATTTGAGACAGCGAAGATCCTTGGTCTGAAAGTGATTGAATAAGTGGTTTTTTTATTGAGAAATTTTGATAGTATCATTTCTTTTAATAACTATATCATCAACATAGACAACTAGATAAACACATTTTCTAGGTGAATTGTGATAATAAAATCTGAATGATTTGCTTCACTGCATTTCATCCTAAAATTTTGCACATCATGATTGAATTTTCCAAACCAAGCTCTTGGAGACTGCTTGAGTCCATAGAGAGATCGACAAAGTTTACACACCAAACCAAACTCCCCTTGAGCAACAAACCCAAGGGAGTGCTCCTTGTAAATATCCTTTTCCAACTCACTATGAAGGAAGGCATTTTTCAAGTCTAACTAATGAACTGGCTAATGTCGAATGGTAGCCATGTCAAGGAAGAGATGAATAATGGAAATTTTGGCCACATGAGTGAAGGTATCACAATAATCAAGACCGTATATCTGAGTATAACCTTTGGCTACTAATCTAGCCTTAAGGTGGTCAACCTCACCATCAAGACCAACTTTAATGGCACATATGGTATACCACCTTTGGACGGTGAAGGGCTGGTCTAAAAATCCATTGTGGTATCTTCCCATACAACTTCTGGAATGGGTAAGGGCTGCAAAAGACCTGTGGGAACTTGATAAGAATACTCGATTTTCTGGCAAGTGAGGCAAGATGCGATGTAGGTTTCAACGAAATATTGCATGTGGGCCAACAAAAATTGGCAGCTAATCAAGCGAGAGTGCGTTTGATTCCTGCATGTCCCCCTCATGGTGCATCATGAAATTGGATGAGTGCTTCACATAAAGGGGAGTGCATACTAACCACATAGAGACCTCGAAATAAAATCAACCCATGAAGTTGTGTATACCTTGGAGGAAGAAGGTCTTGCTGGTGTTGGTGATGTAGGGCTAGCAAATTGGGATCAGAAGCATTGGCCTGCTGCAATTGTTGAAGTATTTCAAATGTTGGCCTTGAGACAAGAGCAAGCTAGGATATGTGATCCTCAGAGGTCCAATTTGCAAGAACTCAGGATAAGGCATCTGCTACTCAATTAGATGCGTTGGGCTTGTACTCTATACGGAGCTGAAAACATTGGAGTATAAGCTTGGAACCATTGTTAAAGTTGTTTTTTTTTTTTTTTTTGCAGACTTTCGGTTAAATGCAAGTATTGTTTGATGTAAACATTTTTGTTATTTTGACTGTATAACTCAAATTTTGATTTTGAAGTTTAGATTTCAAATTGTTTACTAGATAATGAGTTGACTTTAAAATGTTAATATTTTGTTTGTAATGTTTCATTATTTGAAAAATGTCTTTCATGTTATTTAGTAATTTGGTTATGAATATAACCAAGCACAACATTTCAATTCATGATTTTGAAAATAGGTCTTCTGATGTGTGATTCAATTAATAATTTCACCGCCCATGTTTCACCATATTAAAATGATTGCATTTTAGTATTTAATTTATTTGTCAGATTGGAAGGTAAATAGTATAATGTACCAAGAAATGAGTTTAATTGACAACATCTTATTTGATCATTGCAAAATTTCTAGGTTTCATGTCGGGTAGATACCCCTGAAGACTGTGCATGCTTAATAGGCAAGGAAAACCTTTTTTTTAATGAATTTTTGTTGTAAATTTATGTTTTTATCTATATGATCTCTTAAATTTTATTCTTCTAGCAGAAGCAACCATCAAACTCAAGCTTGGAACTGGAATTTTGATAGCAGTTCCGATTCCTCAAGAACACTCTACTTCTGGACACATAATTGAATCAGCCATTCAAAAAGCCATTAAAGAAGCTAGGTAAATGTCTCTATCCATTTTGGCATAATATGTAAGTTGTACATTAACTGGTTTAGAGCTGTCAAAACGGGCCAACCCGGCCCATGTGGGCCGGCCCACCTTGACCCACTTTAAAAACGAGCCAACCCAACCCGGCCCACTTGTAATTTTTTCAAAAAAAATTTGGCCCGGCCTGGCCCACCACGGGTTGGTGGGTTATACGGGCCAGCCCACCAGCCCACCAAAAATTAAAAAAAAATTATTAACAAAATTCAAAATTTTAAATTAATTATAAATTAACATAATAGTCATAAAATTAACATCATTAATAGTTATAAGTCATAATTCATCATACAAAATTAAATACAAATCTTGATAAAAGTTTAAAATAAAAATTTTCAATATATCATCATACAAAATAAACTACAAATCATATTCAAATTTTTATTGAAAAAAAAAATGGTGGGTTGGTGGGCCACCCGGCCCACCACGGGTTTAGCCCGGGTGGGCCGGGTCAAAGTGGGTCGGGTTGAAATATACCCACCTACTATAAAACTTCAATTTTTTTGGCCCGGCCCGGCCCGTTTTCAAGGTGGGCCGGGTTGGCCCACGGGTCCCGGCCCACTTTGACAGCTCTATATGCCACTTGTATGGAAAACAATATAACGGGGAATGCTGATACTCCTTTCTTGCTTGCTAGAATAAATGACCTCACTGGAGGTGCTTCACTTGCTGCAAGTATCCATTTTTAAAGTTTTCCAGCATTACTTTATTAAAAAAATCAATAATTAACAATGTATATTATAATCTAAATTTTAAGCTATGGTAACTATTGTTTATATGATTTCAAATATCATGTTCAAATTTAATATTTGATCTAGTGTTAAAAGTGAATCTTAACAACACTTTAGACATCGCTCTTGTGAAGAATAATGCTATTGTTGGAACTCAAGTTGCTGTAGCCCTTGCTCAGAGAGAAAATTGTCGAAGGTGAGCTTATACTTCCATAATATATATTGACCAGCTCAGCGTGTATATGCATAAAACTGATTCTTTGTATTTTCTAATATTACTTTATGAAGGCCGTTGTCAAATGTTGGTGTTTTTGTGTCTTCCCTATGCAAGTTAGATTCTCTTTAATGTAATAAATATGTAATATTCAAGAAATTTATGCTATTACATTCCAAATTAACTTGCATGAACCATATAGTATCCAATAGATTAATTTTCTTGCCAAATGTTGATATATTTCCTTATCTGGAGATACAGATTAATTTCCAGCCAAATGTTGATACATCTCTTTATCCACTGCTGCACTATCATCTGCATTACTCTATTTAAGGTTTGAATCTATGGGAGTAACCAACTGATTTGCAAGTTACCTTACCTATCTCCTTGAGTAAATCTGTGACATATTTTTGTTGAGATTTGAGAATACCTTTCTTGAAGTGAGACACTTCAATTCCTAAAAAATATTTCATCCTCCTTAGAGTTTTTATCTCAAATTTCTTAGCTAGATGTTGACTCAACACTTGTTGCTCCTTCAAATATCACCAATAACAATAATATCATCCATATACGCTAACAATATAGTCACTCCTCTTGAGACTGCGTGTTTGATGAATAAAGTGTGGTTACCTTGTTTTTTTTTTTTTTTTTTTTTTTT